AAGCAGAATTTCACTGCTGAAATATTAACTAAGCAGAAATTTGATGCGACTGTCTATTCTCGGAACACATCACGAGGTGATTCTGAAAAGTTCACACTATTTTGATTTTTTACTTTGACACTGTACCTGTCCTTTAATCACTACAGTTCCTTTGAACAAACTGTACAGTTTGTTGATGATGGTCATGTTGTTCCAGTCAACAATGTTGTGGATCTTCTTCAGTTCAACGTCAGCCGCAGTGGCAACACTGTGGGGATACAAACATGAAAAGCGGGGTGATTGCAGCAACATATCTTGCTCAAAGACACAAACCATAAGGAAGGGATCATCTCAACAAAGTGCATTCCAGTTTTGAATTAACTGGGCCTTACTCTCTGCTTATGCTAAATTCCAGAGGATGACAAGACAGCACTATCTCACCTGTATCTTGTATCAGAGCAGGCAATAATTAGATGACAAACGATGTCTTCGTTGGGTAGTACATCGGCAGCAAGAAAGTTAACAATTCCCACTTTACACTGAACACAGCAAGAGAAGAAAAAACTGAAACACATGAAACAAAGGGTGACATGCTGTGCAGAAACATATGAAACTGTACAAACATCTCATGCCTTGTCTCCTGTTAATCCTTGGAAGGAACAGACTTCTGTGCTATGAACATTGTTCTTAATAGCCAACCAAGAACTTGTACACCTTGTCTGCAATTCATATTGGCTGCAAAAAATATGGAAATATCACCCTAGCTCTGTGTCAGACGTAACCTCAAAATGCACTCCCCGTTACTTTTACAGAAGGTCGTATTTTAATTAAGCATTTTGTAGTAGAGTTTGTTATTAGGTACTTTGATAGTGCATTGGGATTTAAGCCGAGACTTGAGAAATGAAGTCAAATGCGACGTTCACATCACATGCTGCGTGTGTGCAAACCAATGAACCACCCCTTAGTCCTTTTCTTTTGGACTAATGTACAGCTACTTTTGCCAGCCCCTGTTTACCCAAATGTGACCCTGTTCAAAGGTACATCCAACCTGTTCAATTGTGCTGGCTTCCGGAACATTCTCCCCGATCACTCGTTTGAGTGCATTGGCACTCAGGCCAGGTGGTGTTGTCCACGTTCCTGTTGCTGCCGTAGTTGCTGCTGTAGATCCCGCAGGTGCTGTGGCTGGTCTGGATGAGGAAGCAGTGTCGGATTGCA